GTTGCTCTCCGATGCATCCATCAGAGTGTGAATGTGAATGTTAGCTATGAAGCACTTAAACTTAGAAGTGCCTGTGTGAATGGGTGTGAATGGGTGAATGAATTAGCTGTATAAAGCACTTTGAGTGCTCAGACAGAGAACAAAAGCACTATATAAGAACCAGTCTGTCCATTTAACAGACGTGGAGCCTCAGATTAACATCAGGTTATTGATGGGTTATTGACAGGTTATTGACGGCTTATTGACAGGTTATTTATGGGTTATTGACAGGTTATTTACAGGTTAATGACAGGTTATTGACGGGTTATTGACAGGTTATTGACAGATTCTTGATGGGTTATTGACAGGTTATTTATGGGTTATTGACAGGTTATTTACAGGGTAATGACAGGTTATTGACGGCTTATTGACAGGTTATTGACGGCTTATTGACAGGTTATTTATGGGTTATTGACAGGTTATTAATGGGTTATTGACAGGTTATTAATGGGTTATTGACGGGTTATTGACAGGTTATTGACAGGTTATTAATGGGTTATTGATGGGTTATTGACAGGTTATTGATGGGTTATTGACAGGTTATTGACAGATTCTTGATGGGTTATTGACAGGTTATTGACAGGTTATTGACAGGTTATTAATGGGTTATTGATGGGTTATTGACAGGTTATTGATGGGTTATTGATGGGTTATTGACAGGTTATTGATGGGTTATTGATGGGTTATTGACAGGTTATTGACAGGTTATTAATGGGTTATTGATGGGTTATTGACAGGTTATTGACAGATTCTTGATGGGTTATTGATGGGTTATTGACAGGTTATTGACAGGTTATGAATGGGTTATTGATGGGTTATTGACAGGTTATTAATGGGTTATTGATGGGTTATTGACAGATTCTTGATGGGTTATTGACAGGTTATTGATGGGTTATTGACAGGTTATTGATGGGTTATTGACAGGTTGTTGCCGGTTTTATGACGCTTATTGACAGGTTATTGATGGGTTATTGATGGGTTATTGGTCCTTTCCACAGACGCTGACCCTGACCGTAACGATTGTACTGACTGCTGAGCCATTGCTGAGCTCTTCAGAGAGACATGTCCATATATTTTTCTACAGTGTTCGTATGTCACAGAGAAATGTTTATAACTTTAATTTGTTTTAATTTATGTTCAGCTGTGTGATGTCTTTCTGTATAGATTATCTATAGATTATTGGTTGTATCATCTCCTATGTGTTTGATTTGCTGGAATATTGGCTCCAGTTTCTTGGCTGAGTTTCTGTTGTCCTGTTTATATCTCTGTCACAGGGGCTCATACCTGTAAGTTTACCTGTGCTTGTACCTGTAAGTGTACCTGTGCTCGTCTGTATGTGAGCAGCTTATTAAACACACAACACAAAATTATCAGCTCTCTAATTATTCATCCAGAAACTATCTGAGCAGGATTATTTCAGTACAACTGAACTCTGAGCGCAAGAAAAAAAAGAACATAAAGCTTCTAAAACAAAAGACGTTTTTCACTATGAATTATGGGACGAAATCGTCTCCTCTCCTGCTTCAGTGCTTCCTAAAGGAGATCCTATCCGGTCTTTAACTGATGATCTGATGAATCCTGCTTCTGGGTCCAAACTACTCTGCGTTTAATAAGTCTGTTGTGTTTTTAACACAACAGACTTTCACTTTGTATCTTGTTATACAGGGTGGGCCATTTATATGGATACACCGTAATAACATGGGAATGGTTGGTGATATTAAAGTCCTGTTTGTGGCACATTAGTATATGTGAGGGGGCAAACTCCTCAAGATGGGTGGTGACCATGGT